TAGGACACATGAGGTTCTGGATGCACATTCAATGACTTTTAGTTCCAAGAAAAATATGGTCTCGTATATACTTAAGTTTAACTTTTAAAGAGCTATTTCCATCCATGCTGCTTTAATAAGCTCTCCCCTAGATCATAAAATCCTAGATTCATGGGCTGAGCAGGCCGCATCTTTTGCAAAGAAAACAGTTCTGCAGTACTTTTTAAGGACACACATGCATAGTCTAGTTCTAAAATTTGTAGCAAAGTAAGATAACACAGACTAACCATTTGGACCATAAGAAATTCACCCTTAAATTTCATTGGTTGTGCTATTCTACTTATGCATTTGGCTTATCAACTTGGTAGGTCTAAGAAAGGAAAATATATGTAACACACTACATCCCATAATGGAACTGGGTTTGTTGTTCTCTAACCAGAGTTCATTTCTGGTTGTGCCACACCCCAAAAACAAAAAACAAAAAAAATGAAGAAAGCTTTCCTATCATTTATTCCCCATGTTCCTTCATACTCTCCAGCGGGTCAGCAGAAAGCACAGTGGAACTCATTTCCATAGGGGCGTGTAAAAGATTTTGAAAACTCCTCCCAGAGGCGAGGCGCCAGGAAGGTTTAAACTACAGAGGACAAGGGCCCATCTGCCTGGCGTGGTGCTCCGTTCACAGCAGATACGGCTACAGCCCTAACTCACCCACGCGCTCCATCCCGAGCCAGACTAGATGCTCAGTGATTCTGTAATTACAGACTGCGAAGAGGCTTCCTCATTCATTCTTATCATGCAAACCAAAAAAAAAAAAAAAAAAATTCTATGAAAATATGTAAATACTGTAATTGACTATTATAGACTATTTTGCATCAACTACAGATGTCTCGAGATAGAATTTTCTTCCTAGCTCATTCACTTGTTAGAAACACTCCATTTCCCCAAAAAAGAAAAACACACACATAATAAAAAGCATGCCTTCCTGCTATCAAAAAATGAACTCCAGAACACACACGCCTACCAAGAACTGAAGGAAATGAGTTTCAGCAAAACAGGACTCATGATCTGAAACCTATTTCACCTCCAACTTTAAGTCAATTATTTTCACCTTCTTGAGATCAGGCAAGGACTCAAAGACCATCCCTTGAATTGTACAGAAGTGTGACCTATCTGTTAAGAAAAAGCCATGGCAGTCTTTTATATTAGACTTCCAAGGAACTAGGAAGAAATGGCAATTTACATATATAATGAGTAGAAGGGTAGCGAGGGAACAGCTTATCACTCCTTCACTCCTCTCAAGGATGGCTGTTCTAGACTAAACAGTAAGTGGACTCAGAGGACCTGAGAAAGGCTGAGGAGCACTCTGTCTCAGAAAATCAACCGACTGCTTCAGCCAGTTGGGAGATTCTGCTCACCAAAAAGCAGATCCCAGGCCAGGAAAAGTCAAAAGGACTTTATGTCATCAACATATGTAGCTTAGGCAGAGTCTCCTGTGATGAATGGCAGAATGCGCTTCCAGGCTGAATGGTATAGATGGGAAACCACTTTGAGCCATCCAGCAGACACTGGAAATCCATTGTTGATGCAGAGGGACCTGTCACAGCAGCATGACAAACTGTCACCACTGCAGACACCACCCTGGCCTCAAAATTGCCATCTTGCCAATTTTCCTTATTCACTTCAGTGAATAGGCCTAAGATTTTAAAACAGTTAAAATCTACACGTAAGATTGGATAAACTCACGTCTTCCCTTTCTCTTGAATCCTAAAAGAAATAATGCAGCCAGCAGCTGCAGAGGACACATAAAAGATGAAATGCAACAAAAGTAAGTGCTAGAGGCAGAAGGAATCCGAATCAAGGCTTAGCGAGGAAAACTGATGAGCCCTGCAGTCTGACAACCGTCCAGAGCCCCCCCCCCACACACACACAAACACACACACACATACAGATGAGCCCTGCAGTCTGACAACCATCCAGAGCCCTGACAGACACACACACACACACACACACACACACACACACACACACACACACACTGATGAGCCCTGCAGTCTGACAACCATCCAGAGCCTTGCCTCCCCCCCCTCCAACACACATGGGCGGGAGAGCGCGCCATCAAGGGTAAGAAAGGGCTGAAGAAATGGATTAAGCAGCGTCTTTAACAATGCTTACCATTCAGAAACAAGACTATTTTACATGACCAAACAATACCCTTGCCAAATTAAATTCCAACAATTGCAATGTATAATGGTAGGCTAAAGGAGCCAAATTGTAAATTCCCAGCTCAGGCATGAAATTTGGTAATAGACAAGCAGAAAAGAGAAAGGTTAAGAGTTTTTCAAGTTTCCTTCCGGACATCTAAACCTTTCCAATACTTGTCTCATGGGAGGTCTTCTCCCTGGAAACTTGGGTGACAGAGTCAATGCGTGTTACCAACCCTTCTGAAGTGCAGGACAATTTCATCACATGACTTTCACTTGCCCAGCCATCACGGGGAAGGTGGTCTTGCATCGTGTGGCAGTCAGATGGGGCTTGCAGCCAGTGTTAGTCTACGGAGAAGCTAACAGGTTACCAGAGAGGAAGGAGGGGAGGGGGAAGGGAAGAGGGGCTGACTGGGTGGGGGTGAATGGAGACTGGACATTTGTGGGGGGAGTGGGGAGATACATGCAGTGGCTGAAATGAGAAAATGTACTCCTGGAATTTATACACGGTTGTAAACAAATGTGATCTCAATTAAAAAAAAAAATAAAAAGTCGTATTTGAGGGCATGAGGGACCAGGGAAATTCTGACACATTTAAAACACTCATTGCCCAGCAGACAAAACAAACCACGTTCACATTGACATTCACACCAGAGTTTGAACTGGGGATGACAATGAAAATCCTAAATTGATCATTCTCACCTGAAATGTACATGAAGCAAACTGAAAAAATATATTTAATTCCTCTAATCTTTCAAAAAAGGGGACTTGGAGGTTCCATGGAGGTGACTAAGGCCATGGAACATTAGAAATTTTAAGAACCACATATATATTTAAAAAATCTTTGTGCCTTACTTTTTTCTGACATAGTTACAATATTGCATATTTTAAGTATAAGCCAAGAAACTATTTTCTGTTCTATAGATTTAAATGGAAAATTTTGGACCTGATGGAGAATTAAATTTTCCTCAATATAAACACCCACTACTGTCAATTTCTTTTCTTCTAAGTGTCATTTACTGTGTAATCCAAAGGACCAGCTAACCAATTTCTTATTTATTATTCTTGGAAGGACCACTTACTAAACACCAAGCCAACCCACATAACAACATTTGCTACCTATATTAGTGATTCCTTCTTCATAAATTTAAAATTCGACTTTCTACTAGAATGCAGTGAGAAAAGTTAAATTTAAATGTGACATATCAAAAATTGAAAAGCACTTACTTACATAAATTATAACCTTGTGAGCCTCTTTACATCTGGTGGTAATAATGCAATAAAATTACATTTATAGAGTAGAAATAATTTAAACATGATAAACTATGAGGTTTTACTTGTCTGCATTTTTTTTTGTTATGGAATGCAAACTTAGTCCTTTAAAAAATGTGAACTTTTCTAGTAATTTTTATTAAAATGGAAAGTTGTATTCTCTCAGAACTTAATTTTTGGTGAGAAAAGGTTGAGATCAGTGACTGGTATATTTGAGGTTTCCAATTACTAGGGGGTATAAGACACCTTTAAAAAAGTGAGGTGAGCTCATTTCTCGCAGGTGCATTTATTCTCTTTACTCTCTGCCTCCTACCTGTGGTCCTGATTTTCTCCCTCTACTTAGGAATTCCAGAGGCTCCATTTTATCTTCACTTTCTGAGTATTTATTTATTTTAAGATTTATTTATTTAAGCATACAAGAACTGGGGTGTAGACCAGAGGTGTGAGAGGATTCACCAGAGACAGAGTGGGGAGTAGAACAGGGTGACTGACTGAAATACACTGCTGAGAGGAGAATCAGGAAGACAGGAGAGGTCTGCTGCACCATGTGGGTCAGCTCCCTGGCTGCATTATGACTGAACTCATAATGCAGTAGCTGGTGATAGCTTGATAGCGCTGTGTCTTTAACCCATGCGCCACCAGGGAGGCCCACTTTCTGAGTATTTAAAATGCTTCACAGCAGAAAGGTGACTCAGTAACTGAGATATTTTGGCTCAAACATTTAACTAAAGTGTCTTATTTATTCTATGCATTAAGTTAATCACCAAGGATTTGAGGCCTATTACATGCCTTGAATGACAATAACATTTTAGTGTTTATATGCAAAACATGTCATCTATAATTGAAAGCAAAGACCATAGTTTTCACTTTCTTATCTATTTCTTCAGATATAACAGAAATAAGCAACAAATGGGGCAGCAATTATTTCAACATCCTAAGTCATTATGATTAAGTGGTTTCTTTGCCCTCTCACAAAAACTGTTAACTTTATAAATATTAGAAAGGCAGAAATTGATTTACATAGTTTTCAAATGTGGCTCCTTACAAAAAAGACTCAATTTGTCCCTTATGTGACTTTACCACTGGTGTTCAGCAAGGATTTATCCTACAACTCCATCTGTGTTGCAGCTGAAGATCTATCCATCCTAAATTTACTTTATTGACTCTTTTCTAATCAACTTTAGGCTTTTTAAAATTTGAAGATTTCACTTTACCAGTAATAACAGTCATAAAAAATCTCTTGAGTCTCAAAAATTATGTAGAAACAAGATAAAAAGAACTAACCCAATCCACACCCTATTTGGATGCTGGGAACAGAAAAAAGCTGCATTACAGACTTCCAACAGTACTTGGCTCATACAAATGTCCTATTCTGACAACTTAGTCAAATGTGTTTATATTCAAGAGAAAAAAACTATCCTCATTAAGTAAATATCCTCTACTATGTCTTTATTGTAGCTGAAGGTGTCTAGAACAATTTTGTTCACACAGATTCACATAGCTTCCTTTTATGTTCTTCGAGTCTTGTCTTCAAAAGCATCTAGTATAGAGCAAACTCAATCACTAACTGCACTGGTTGCAGAAGTGAGGGGAACCAGGTTTGCTCAAGTGATGGTGGGACAGAAATTCTGTATTAGCCTCAGAAGCTACTGAGGTGTTCCATTCTATCCTAGTACAGTGTAAAAACTTAAAAAAAAAAAAAAAGAGTTTAAAAAAGTATCTAAGTATAAATATTAAATGGCTTTTCAGTGAAAAGTTGGAAGCATTCAGCATCAATAATTTTAATGTACTCCTGGAATTCCTTTCTCATTCCTTAGTGCTTTGAAGAGATATACAAACACTAATTCATCTTTCGTAAAAAACCAAAATTGTGCTACAAGGAATAGGAATAGATCTGGAGTTCTGAAATGAATGCTAGAGTTAATTTCACTGGCAAAGTGAATTTTGTAATAACTTTTATAAAGAAGAGCTCATAGAAAATTCCTTCACATTATTTATATGATGTCACCTTTTTGCTTATAATGAACAAAATTTAAAGGGTAGTGTGTTTATAAGGTTGTGATGGCTACAAAAAGGAATTACAGAGATCCTGTAACATACCTTTGTAAACTGCACTTCATAGGATAACACTAATCAGAATTTAAAGGTGAATTCTTCACAATGGCACTGAAAGTATATACAAGTTTAGGAGACAGAAGTTGTTTGTAGCCAGACAAATTTAAAAAGGTTACCATCTGTTACTTAATACATTTTTGAATGGGAAATGACCTTTAGTTTGTAGACAAACATTCTGATTTACATAGGAAGGGAAGTAAGGACCTGAGACAGGATAAAGAGGAAAGTCAGTTGATATTTTTAGAACTGTGTATTGGCTATAAAATGTCAATGAATGATAGAAACGTGAACCCAACCCAAGAGAAGTGGAGAGGATACCAGAGAAGGGAACTGGGACATAGTACAAGGAAAAAGACAGGATCGTTAGTTTTCTAATGAAGATATTAGAATTTCTAGATGGAACTCAAAATTAATACTTCTTAAGAGTCAGGTAAAAAGTACTGCTGCTTATACGTAGGTTTTAAGAAATCAGGATAAAGTATAAACGGATACAGATTTTACTGTATTTACAATTCAGTACTTGTTAAATAAAGTCCTTTACCATTCAATATTCTTTACACTGCAAACCACATAAAGGAATTTTTTAATAGCATAAATGAGCTTAAGTATCTGACTGTCACAGAACAAAATGGAATAAAATCAAACATTTATCATTTTCTTGATTATAAGAGTAAGACACTGTCAAGCTGGGCTGAGAGAAAGTAAGACGAGGGAATAGCTAACAAATTATTTCAAACAAAAAGTAAATACATTATCACACATTCCCTTTGTATATATTACTTAGTATTTATGACTTATGAACTCTTTAAAGAATAGTGACTGTGATATGTAAACTTAGTAGTAAAGTCATGGACTTTTAGAAGTGTTTTTCACATTCAATATAACTTATTTTAGAGCCAAAACACTATTTTAGAAGATCATCTAAGTGTCACAAACAAGCAACATGTATATACTGCAATTTTATTTCAATCGCACAAACGAAGTTAGCGCGTAGGAAATGTAAATGAAACAGTATGGTAAAAATAGCAAGGAACTGAAAAATCTAAAAAGGAAATACACCTAAAGCATGAGAATTCAACATTCATTAGTGTTTCATCTTCAGTTTTGATTGACACTTGATGCTTGCAAATTTTGAAACAAACTGTGAAATCATGATGACTATTCTGAAGAGATTTCAGCACCAGCACTAAGATTTGTACATTCAGTTGGTTTGCAATTGACTTGTTAGCCATTTACATAGTGTATAGTACAGATTTGTCACAGGTCAGATCACAGTGTTGAGGAAAGAAGTACCTTCCTGTAATTAGAAAGGATCCCCTAAACTGCACTCAGCTTAAGACATCCAACGTACAAGAGCACATAAACCATCATAATGTGGTTCCAAGGAACAGGGTTTTGATAAGGAAAATAACTTAAGCTTCTGTTTCCCATTTTAATTACTGAAATCTCTAACAATGACAAAAATGTCATGTTGACAAATGTAGTTTAGTAATTCAATCAAAGTCTTGGAAAGAACACATTAAGCAATCTGGAATAATGCAAAATATAACGTGATTCAACACTGGTTCTTTTTGTCATTTTACACAGACATCATGTTAATATTAGACCAAGGCACAAAACGTTTAGTGCATAAACCAGTTTCTTTTTAAAGATCTAGCATTATTTTGTAGTCTTTTTATCTTACTTTGGACCACTTGTTCCCAGTACTCTATCCTACTACAGACTATTCAATTTAACCAACAAAATCAAAAGTGATTTCTGACCAGATTTATAGGGGACATTAATGTCTATATCAGCTAAGTGTTTGCATAACCAAAAGTACAATAATAAAGATGAAAATGCCTCCTTTTTAGAAAATAGTACTTTGAAAGCTTGCTGCATCTTCAATGCCTTTACTACTATTGCATGACAACAAAGAGTTGATAGGGAAAAAAAAAAATGTATATTTGACTGATGATAGCTCATCCATCACAGATTAATCTAAAAATTAAGTTTCTACAGAAACTATGTTAACAAAGAAAAATAATTCCCTCATTCAAACCTCTCTGAAGTGGTAATGGCTATGAATCTGCAGCATTTAGAAAACGATGCAATCAACAAGCTCTGTCTTATGAACTGAGATGGAAGAAATCTAGAAAGCAGATGAAAAAGGATCATTTCAAAATTTTAGTAAAACTTCTAATAATCAAAGATTTCAAAGCAAATATGGCACATTAACAACTCAAGCATAAATCAAGATGGAGAGCCCGGAAAACTTTATTTCCTAATATTTCAAAAACTCTATCATCGCAACAGATAGGATTTCTGCCCTATTTTAATCTTATGAGAAAGAAAAGGGAGTGCACACACACACTCAGTGGTAAGGAAAGTATCTCATTCCTTCTTCCACCTCCTAAGTCTCTATTTATTAAAAGAATTTCAGAACTCCTCATTGGTTTCCCTTAATGATTTCTGTGACCTTAATTGTTGCCATTGTTGTTCTTGTATTTCAACAAAACAAAATTCGAAAGCAACTTCATAGTCAGGAACATGTACCTGAACACCTGTATAACTGCAGGGCCCAAAACAGGGATTGAAATTTTGAGTTCCACAGTAAGATACAATTCACGTGAAGCTCAGAATCATGTTTCAGACCATTGAAATTACTGAAGTTAAAATACAAATAGCTGAAGACATGATGTAAAAGATTAAGTACTTGGTTCTGTTAACATATTTACCAATTAAAGTCACAAAATATTCCTCATTATTATTCATGCAGGTAACTGAGAAAAAAAGATAGTGCAGAAATTAACTTTAAATAAAAAGTTATGCCTTCCCTTCCTCCCACACCCCTATACTCTACAAAATGTTTTTCCCTGGGACTAGGCCTTAAAAAGGCCACTACATATTAGTGTGACATGCATTACTGTCTGCAATTAAAAAAGCTAATTCTGTGGTGATTGTAATTACATTATAAAAATGTCCACATGCATAAATCTAAAAAAGGTTGAAAACCTACAGTAAATCTACAATATACTGTTTTACATTTGACCACTGGTTTGTGTTATGTAGGAGTCAAAGATTTGGTAAAGCATTGTAACAATTTAGGAAGGCATCTAAATCTTTAAATTCTGGACGAATTTTATGTTTTAATCTACAAAATTGCATGAAGGCTAACTCGAGAGACTTCCTATCATTCTAAAATTCCTCAAGGTGGACAAATCATTTTTAGGACACTTTCTTATAAGTATCACCCTTTGAAAGCACATACAATTCCATTTGTTTCACATTTTATGATCTTAACCTACATAGGGCTGATCTCAATTACTTATGGAATATCAAATATGATAGGAAGACAAACCTGAGAGAAACATTTACAATACAATAGCAAAACTTGCTAGATTCTTTCATCAGCACTCTGAAAAAATTTCTTAAGCCTTTCTCCTCTTTATTTTAGCAATGGATAGTGGAAAATGTGTCATTTTATCTCGACATGAAAATATTTCAATGCACGGTGATCTTGCCTGATGGGTTTAATATTTTCTGCATAACTGCTACAGGAACTCTTATACTACTCTCTTCCATCTTGTTGTAAAGGTCAGAAAAAAGCAGCAAACTGGGAGGGAAATAGCTTAACGCCAGAGTAATAATGTCTGAAGGCTTTCGAAGTATGTTGGTTTTTCCCTCCTTCCAACTGTTTGTCTCCATTTTCTTCTTACAGCTCACAAAATGTAGGGGTTTGTTGTTGTTAACAGTTGTTTGTAGGTTGTTTTTTTTTTTTTTTTTCCTTTCTTTCTCCAGATTAAAGTCCTATCTCTCCTTAGTTTGTTTCTCTATGCAGTATTTGACTTGCTCAGTTCCTGCCTGATTGCTGGGTAGGAAAAGGAAAAAGTAGATATAATTACAAGGTTAAAAAAATGAACAATTCATTCTTAAGATAATTTGTTAATTGGATTTTTTTTGATGGCTGTATTTAAACGCACAATAAGAAAAAGGTAAGTTGATGTTACATCTTTCCTTGCATATATCTGTTTTCTTACTACAAAGAGAACACTCACTTCAATATATGTGTATTTATTTATTCTCCCCCTTTTATATACAAAATGAAAACACTGATTCTGTGGGCTCAAACACAAGAGGACAGAGGAATAGGAAGAATGAGCAAAGGGAACCGGAGAAAGACTTGCTCTTTCTCTGCCTACCAACCCGCAGCTGGAACTCAGGGCGCTTGTTTATCCCTATCGTTACAAATAATTTTCATTATATCAAGGGGAGAAGGCTTCCCTGACATCCCAAGACAAGCAAAGGGGAGGATACTCTAGAAAACAGTTTTATGCCTTCAAGTGATAGGATTATTTATTTACACAAAGACTTATCTTAAACATTACTCTAGGGCAGTAGCAAATTTGTTAAGGCACTCACCATCAATAAGTTCTTCTTTTAGCTTTGTTAATTCTTTTCTCATTTCATCTAAAATGTCCTAAAATATTAGAGAAAAAACATCAGGAACACAGAAGAAAATCATTGCTAAAAAGATTCTTGCTCATGTAAAATTTAAGAATATATGAAATACATGTGATTTTTGTTTTGAAAATCACAATTTAAGTTTTAGAAGACGAACCTTAGTAAAAATTGTTTTAATAGTCTTTCTCTTATCAATTTTTGCTTATGCTAGCCTTGTAAAATATGAAACAGAATGCTTTCTAAAACTGAAATAATTCCCTTGTCATCCAGTAAAAGGTATGAGTCAGTTTCTAGAAAAGATAACAGCTCGTTTTTAATCTGGTTTTCTGGTAGCAGTCTGAGAGATGATACATAAAGATGTGTCAAATAAGAAACAAGTGAACCTAATAATCAGCTCTTGGCAAATCTGTCACCTTGGTTTGAAATATGGGAATTCCTTAGAAATCACCATAACTGCCAAACTATGTTTCAAAGAACTTAGGATTCCCCTAGGATTCCACTGAGAAATAAGTTGTCCGACGAGGTAGAAAAGCAGGTAGGTGAGCTCTTGCTTGACCTGCATTGTCCAGTGTGCAGGTACTAGTCACCTGTAGCTACCAGCCTCAAATAAGAGGCAATGTAAGTATAAAACATACCTTACATTTCAAAGATTTAGTATGAAGAAAATAATGTGCAGGAACTCAATATTTTTTAAATATTAATTACACACTGAAATAGGACCTTTGGGTGTTTTAAATTAAATAAAATATATTAAAATGAATTTCACCTGTTTCTCTGTAGTTATTTAATGTGACTACAAGAAATTTTAAGTGTACACGTGGTCCATGTTTTGTTTCTACTCAACAGTGATGCTCTGGACTCTCCTCCTTCATTAACACCATCTTTATACACTATTGTGCAAAAATCATTATTTTTAAGTCCAACCTGAAATAACGGACACCATCCCCTAATTAAAAACTGATCAAGAAGTGCATAATATGAACGTTCCAAGATGACATAATTTCAATGAGAGAGAAGTAGCTATGCTTTGAAAGAATTAGTTTTGAATTACATGATTTCAATACTATACATCTCAGCTAAAATTAAATTGCTGTGTGTTAAAGGTTCCTCTTTTTTGTTTTTCATGTTTTTTAAAATAAGGTTGAAAACTGTCAGTTTAACCATTTTACCAATGAGAAAACTAAGACAAAGAAGTTATTACATGGACTAGCAGATATCTAAAGTCAGTCTAAAAATCAATGTATTCCTCTCTTCTACTCCATTACTTCAGATAGTCAAGAACTTACCATCTTTTTCAAGAAAAGAAGCCATATTTAACATACAGGAAAATAAAGGCTTGATCATTATTAATGAACACATGCTTTCTTTTCAAATTACAATTTAACTTTTCACATGGCTTTGCATATAAAAACTAGGTTGTCTGAAATTATTAGTACTTCTCTACTTATTAAATTTATATTTTCAATTCATATTACTGTAACATTATTATTTTCTGTATCCGCCCCATTCAAACATTTGATAGTATTTTTAAAAATAAGTGACAAAGCAGAAAAGGAAGAGCTTACATGAATGATGTGGGATCTGGTGCACACTCAACTATCAGCTGTGGGAATCAGTCAATTCAGTATTCAGAACCTCAGATATGCAGAATTTGAGTATAAGTACTGCATGATAGGACTGCTATGAGTTGGAAGGCAGTGTCATGCTAATATAATACAATAATGCATATAATGTAATGTATATAATGTAATACACTATTGACCAGATAGTCAATTTCTGGCTTCTATAGTGATAAATGTAAGCCTTATTTTCAAAAGCCATTCTGGAGGACAAAGACATCTGTACTCGGCCCATCTCTACTCAGGACTGTGAAGCTAGTAAAGTCATTTTACTGAGACGCACTGCTTACCTTTTTAGAGTCCTTCTAACACTACCAATTTTTAAAAAGAATTTTTCATCTCTTCTAGGAATAAAATATTCTAAGGTTCCATAATAGCATCATCTATTACTCCTTCCACTCTTTTGCCCCTTAGTACATATATATTAAATATAATGCATATATCTCCAAAACTATGGGTACTATTTTTTGTTATTATCTTTCTATATAAAGTTGAAATAACTGTTCATATCGTTTGGTTGCCTGTTTCACCTGGTAGGGGCAAGTGTTCACAATTCGCTGTTAAATAATCTCAACTATGGGTCCTTAATGGCTACCAAGTCTTCCCCTACATTGTGCATTTATACACGTCTATGCTCTTTTCTTCGCGTAAGTTTTTAGAAGTGAAAATTCTGGTTTCACAGGCAAGACATTTATTTTTAAGTTATAGATTTGTTTGCCCAAACCATTGCTTCTTAGAAAGAACATGCAAGAGTAGAAGCCCTTTTTTATTTTTGATAATTATACATCATGTCCTTACATTTAAAATTTGTATCATTAAACCACTGCCCCCACCCTCTACCACAGCTAGAACTTGATGTGAACTAACTGAATTAAAAGAGGAGGATTTGGAAAAAATACAGGGCTAATGCCATTTTTAAATTTGGATTTAAGCATTGTAACTTTATATTCATTTCAAGTACATTCATGATCTGTCAAATAGATCTATGAGGCATTTTTTAACAAGTACAAATGAAGGAAAACTGTCATTGAGAACTACCTGCTTCAACCTGTCGTAGTCTAGGGCCTCAGTCTGGACTCCATTGGCACTGGGCTGTGATGAGGGTGCAGATTTTGGTCTGTACAAATTAAATGTCCAGGACAGGTGAGTAAGTAACATATGCAATAAGTTAAATAACTGCAATCTTACTAACCCAACACCAGATTTAAATACATTTCTTAAATAAAACATTGTGTTAAAAAGTTAAATGTCAAAGTTGTAGGACTGATTAAAACATAAAACAGAATACTTTTTGTTTTTCCCAGTATTTCCTCAGTTATTTGTAAAGAAATTAGGAAAAGGTGATAAGATGACGAAGGCTTCTTCAGTTAAAAGTAGAAGGCAACATTCTTTAGGCAGATAACCAGGCACGAAGAGTGTTGATCAGGACAGGGAAGAAAGCTGCAAGATCCGAGGCCCACGTAACACAATCTCACTTTCTCCTTCTTTTGAAATTGTATGTTATCTACTAAATACCTGCCAAAGATTTGAGGATTTTACTCTAATATGAATCAATTTACAAAATCTAGGCCTTGGTTTGTGGGAAGAAAAACATTTTAGTAAACATGATTTCTCTGTAAGTGTTATTCCATTTCAGGCATCAAAATAAATAAGAATGTTTGAAAAATGATTATTAGGTTAAAAGTATATTCATGACCAACTGGCTATGTGGCTATTCCCCATAAAGTTTTTAAGGAGATATAAATTGAATAATGTGTGCTTCCTGCTGCTTCCATGAACTTTTAAAAATTCATATTGCTAATTATTATGGTACCTTCAAAAGCTAACCTATTCTATTAAATAATTTACACAAAGAATTAAGTTTTAGGGATTAGGTATATTTTAAGCCAAACTTTCAGTATCAGACAAATCAGTCATGGCCCCCTATCCAATGTTAGCAATAAGAGAAGTGGAAAACCTGGAGTTTTAAACTGGTGGTAGGTACTCCTTTATTTTCCAGTTTAGTATGTTAAGTGGCCACTCTTCAAGGGCCATAAATCAATGCAAATCAAAACCATTAGTCAAGTCATACATTTTCAGTTTTGCAGAGCACCAATGCTAGAAATCTAAACCAAAACTCAAGAAGTATAATAATTTTTCAGTTACAATGTCACAATTCTTTTAAGGCATGTTATACTTTAAACTCAAAGGCCTTGTTTGGGGGGTATAATACTGAGCTAACTTGCTTTAATATCAAGACATATGACTGCTTAAAAAGTTGTTATGAAGCAAGTTAACCAACTCTGATTTATTAGTTACCTGATACTATCTTTTATGAGCAAGAAAAGGTTCATACAATATGCACTGCACAAGGCCCTGTGGGGGCTCAGGAGATTTATATAACATATTTCTTTATCTCTTGTGAGGATATACCTTTTAACTTTGTTGAAATTACTTAATAATGAATATCCCTCAAATTTATGTGATTACTAAAGTCTGCTCTTAACTGGTCTGTATGCTATGAATAATATCCATATTTATTAAATAATGCAAAAAATATTATTGTTATATAATAAACAATTGTGGAAACATGCAAATTATAAACAATTGTATTCATGCTAACATGCAATCCATCACCACCACCACCACCACCATGATAATTAACTAAAGGGGGGAACTTTTCATACTGAAGGAAAGAAGTAATCACCACTGTTTTAAAAAAAGGTTTATCAACATTATCCCAGGTAGACCTATGTACAAAGGCAACAAAATAACTGAAAAGATTTACAACAGAGAATCGTGTTGCTAAATGCTATTTTTCTATATATTAGTCGGTTTTCTAAATATCTTTTGGTCAGAAGAATTAAACCAATGAAAAAAGGGCAGGAAAAGCTATTTCACTATTACAATACAAATATTTTATATACGTTTGACTGACTGACAAAATTAACTGTCATTAAATATCTTAATCATCAACAGCATGAAACTATTTTAGTTAATAATGATTTGGTCAAATAGAGTCTGACTACAGAAGTCCTTGCTCACTGCCATAACACAACTCCTCCATATATTGTTTAATTCATGTTCCCAGTAGATGTGATACGCACTTTGAAAAAATGAACAGAAGAACACTGATATATCAGTTATGGGTTTTCACCATAGTGGATAACAGAACATGAGGGTTTTCAGAGGTTATTACTTTATAATGAGTGTTACCTCCAGATACCTGCCTATTAAATAATTGTACCACAATATTTAAGTCCCTATCCTGCCAAATTAATTTTAAAAATACCTTTAAAAGCATTCAGGGATTTCAAAAAGCTGTCAGGTTTTTTTTAATTAAGAAAGAAATATGTGGCTCATATCTTAAGTCTTCTTAATTAAGAAGATTATGACTCATCCTAGAAAACAATCTGCTCAGGATGTTACCTGTTAGGTAACATAACATCTACTTACAAGATATCTAGAAAACAGATTTTCCTCAAAGAATAAATTATTCACGATCGTGGTTCTAATGTTGTAGCATATTCTAGCACAAATAATGCAAGATCTTCTATTCTACTTTTTAAAGGTGTTGTCTCATACTTACAGTCATAAAAAGAACAGTGTTTAAAATAAAATATAAAATTTACAAACAGCCTAGTTATACTACACATGGCCTCAGGTCCCATTCTAGTATTTCTGATATGTTTATCATTTATATTTATCTTAAACGCACTATAAAGTGAGGGCAGGGAAATAGATATTACATTTTTTAAATTAAAATCACCAGGTTTTTAAAAAGGCATTGTAAATAAAACTAAATACGAAAAATTCAATCTTCCTAAATATCTCCATTGTGGTGATTACCAATCCATGTAGAAAAAGCTCAGCCCTATCCTGAACATGTTATTTAAAAGTCTCAAATCACAAAATCACAGCAGGATGATACCTGTGTAATGAATCATAGGACCTGTTGTCAAAAACAATCTGATTTTTCCTTGGAGAATCCCGTCTATGAAGGGGAAAAACCATTTAAAGGGGTATACAATAGAACTTTTAAAAATAATACTCATTATGTTAACTATTTTATAGGTGTTCAGTCACAGCAAATAAAACAACTAAAGGAGTTGATTAATTTTAAAATCATCATTTTTTTCCCCAATAAAGATGAAGATGTTGAGAGACTTAATTCCAGTTAGGTGAAGATATTGTTTACATGATAATTATAAGGAATAAAAAATACCATCTCAGCAAAGATTCACAAATATCAAAACACAATGAAAGACATTTCTATTAGAGTGAATCCAAAGCTAGAGACTCAAATAAAAAAACACACTAAAAGTCACTGTTGCTTAAACTATACAATATTAACTCTTCTTAGAAAACATGTAAAGAATTTTTTTTCATCTTGAATATAAGATCTGTAAGCTCTTTATAGAAACCATATGAAGAATTCATAAGCTTTTCCAATGTTATGGTCTATTTTAAAGCATTTTTAACTACAACATTCTTGCTTATACTTTACTGACATCTTGAATACAGTATAATGCAAAATCTCATTTACATTATATTAATCCATCTTACCATGAACATAATTTTGACATGAATATTTAGAAGGAAAATAGGTATTTCCTCTACCCCCACAAAAACAAGGCATACTTAAATAAAAACATAAATGGCCAAGACAATTATTTTCAGAAGGAACATGAAAGATGATTTAAAAAGAAAACCAATACATTTCTTAAGCTTTTAAACTTTTTTTTAATGTTATATGGTTTAAAATTGCTTACAGCAAAACATTAAGACATACGTTATCACTGGATCAAGCCTATCAAAAGGTGTATGAGTGGTCAGGAAATAATCAGGCATTTCAGAATCTCTATTTTGGAAAAAAGAGGAAAGCCATCTAACCCAGTCAAAATAATGTTACAATGCACTAGCAGAAACTACGAATCAATTTTTGATTAATTCTTATGAAAATATTTTTTAGCTAATGGCCTTTAGAAGATGTATCAAGCATTTTTAAGAATCTGAAAAAAAAAAATCCAAGTTTTTCCTTCACCACATGAACTTGAACACATTGAAGTACATAACTGCATTTGGAGAATACCTCTTCTACATTCCTTCTACTATATGACTTTTGCCACTACAGAATTCCTACCCATGAGATAGGGATGAAGAGAAGTGGCCAAGAGGAGAAAGAATCATTCCCTGTCACACTTTACATCTTCAAAGGACAAATGTTATATCACAGTTCTGTTCTTTGATATGTACTTGAAAATCTGACTTCATAATGTGCTATTGAAGAAAATTTGTAACAACTGTGATGCATTAGAAGGCCACCTCGATTAGGCACTTGAGAAACATACATGTGCAATTTTCTACTCTATTAAAAAAAGAACATGCCCACCAAAAGCAATTCCTGTATTTTCTTCTAAAATCAAATATTTCACCTTTCATCACTTAGAAACTAAAAGCTTCTGTAAATTCAAAAGGCCTGGTTTCTTTGTGGAGCTTAAGTAATTGTGCCATCACCAAATATTTCTTACCAGCAGAAAAAAACACACAAAAACCAAAGCCAACTTTTGGTTTAGGTTAACAAAGAACAGATCTTTGACAATATGAGGTCTATCTCTTATTTTTCTTTAAGTTCCTATAATTAGACTCACTTTTTATGACGCAAAAATAAGGCAAGCAGCTTAGTAAGAAAAGGTAAAAAACTTTTTAGTCTCCAAATACGTATTTTTTCCTGAGAAAAATAAGACAGATAAATTGTCTCATAAACCAAGAAAAAGTTTCATCTATGTTCAAGTTACAATACAGTATGTCCAGCTAAGGGATGCTGAATTTGCTTGACCATGCCCATATGACAACCTGTAGAAATATGAAGTAATGAGTGATTACTGGTCACTGTAGTTTCTAACTGGATAATAATTAGAAGTTTCAGCTGAGTGAGAAATAAATATTTCTATTTGATGCAAATTCAAAGTTGCTATTCAGTTTAAAACATAAAAGTTTTGCACAATAACTAAATTTACAAAAAAGGAAGGATGTCACTGACACTAATGGGGAAATATGGATACAAATTACATAATATCATTGTTTAATATTAGGTTTCTTGGGATTATGTACAAGAATGTACTGGTTCTAAGGAAAAATGCTAACGGAAACAGGATGAAGCAGCACATATTTCCAATGACTCAGGGGGCAAAAGTATGGATGTGTAGGTAAGAATTCAAGCAAATGTGGCAAAACATTAGTAATGGGTGAATCTAGGAGATGGTTATATGGGTGGTGTTCACTGTTCTGTTCTTTTGACATTTCAGTAGTTTCGAAATTTTCAAAATAAAAAAAAATTGGGCAGAATACAAACTACCTTAAAATTTCAGGCAATCTGGCTAATTTTAAGAAGCATTGGGTAGAATTTAGATAAATCACTAGTGAAAATACAATGAGGTTCAGTACACATTAAAAGCTGTCCAAAAGTATTAGTGTTCCTTTGTATAATCTCAAATCTGTTATTTGATTTTTTTTTTCTGCATTAAAAACACAGAAGTCAATTTCTTTTTAGATATAAATGTAATACAAAAATTAGGGGAAAAATGATACCTGGAGATAACGGGTGACTTGCTGCCATTCATTGTATTTGTTCTTTCCCAGGGTTTTCGTGTTGGTTCTTTAAAAATAAATAACATAGTTATTAATATATCCTATATATTCCCAAAGTTATAAAACAAATAATGAAATACTATTATACATGTTTGTGTAGTAAATAAATTTTTTAAACTTTCAATTCTGATTTTTAATTAAATCTATAAGCTTCAACTGTGTACAATTTCACACCTCAAAATGATAATAAGGAAGTATGACAAGTTTCCTTAGGGAAAACTGATATTGTTAAATCTAAAATAACAATAATTCTCTATGTCAGATGTAAGATGCTTCTCTAATAAAGGTAAAGTTTCTCTAATAAAGGTAGGGTTAAGAATAATAGAAAAATTTTAGAGTGGAATGCTATAAATTATTTTATTTTTTAAATTATTTTAAATTAATAAGAGTAGCTAAAATGTATTAGAATGGGATAATATTAACAATACTATTTAAAAAATTTTTAGTACCAATGGTAAAATAAAAAGTATAACATGCAATGTGTTCATATAATTCAATACTTAATGTAAATTCAAACAGACCACCCTAGGGAAAAAAAATGAAACAACTCAATATAAATTTCAGAATCATACAAATTCTACTGTACTTTTTTGATTCTCGAACAACAAATTCTTGGGAGTTAGCAGACAATTCCAGTTAAATATATTAAATTCGTTTACTCTAAGCTCTTACTAGATAACGACTCACTAGTCAGCAGTTCATTGTGATCTGTACTATTTCCTAATTTGGGTTGATTCAATGATGCCATCAGAGGCCCGGGATGAATGGGGATGATTGGGAGTGTCATTGTGCCATGGAAGTAAGCATCAGAATCGAGTACCTATAAGTAGGAGCTATAATTTCACTGCAGTTTTAACTAGAAAAGTTTGTGGAGTTCCAGCATTGCCCCTTAACTGGCTTCTGCACATTCTTACTTAGGTAGCTTGTCTGTCCTCTCTTCAAACTACATAAGCAAAACTAAACTCAAACTCTCTCACCAAATGCTGCTTTTGTTCTTGGATTTCTGCTGTGTTCGGTCATCCAGTTGTGAGACCATAAAGTCAACACTGATCTTGCTTCACTCAACAAATCATCAGTTCTCCCTTTACAACTCCTTTGCTTGTATTCTAACAGCTAACACATTCATTCCATTCACAAACACCACAGAGTTGGCTAGGGGACATCAAATAATCAGATAGGGGATCCAGGAGAGACAGAATCAGAAATGCGCCCAAGAGTTATCAGCTAGAGTAGGTGAAAAGAAGTCTTAAAGGACACTGGACAGGCAGGGGAATGGAACTCAAAATCCCTATCACCAAAGCAGCATTTGAGAGATGAGGGGAAAATTCCAATACAGTAAGATGTAGTTAGTGCTACCGTTGACACTTAGCTGAGGTCCTTCTTCAATAAGCCAAATTAGGGCTGATCTTAAAAGGGTTCCTCTGATTTTGAAAAAGAGCAGTTCAATTTAGCTCTGCAGGTAGTGAGGACATTTGGTCTCTAAGGGGCTCCTGGTGGGACGGGAGAAGGGACAGACTGGGTTCATTGGATCTTTGGAAATACACTGGATCCTCATTAGCACCAGCTTCCCTATCTCAGTCTTCCCTGATTCATACATCAAAATGCTCACATTCTAATGTCCTCAGTTTTAGTTCATTATCAACTCAATCCTTGGAGGATAAAGTCTAAACTCTTGATCTTTTCATAAAAGGGCTTTATTTTTGTTCTAATGTACTTTTTCAAACCCTCCAAAACTCCTCAAAAAGAATTTTCCATTCTAGGCAGCCAAGTCTACTGAATATTTCCTACTCTCTTCTTGTTCATCTTCAGCTCTAGATCTTTGCTCATGCTATACTTACTCCCCCAGATAGCTAGACTACAAGTTTCTTGTGCTCAGAGAGCCTTTATCCTTCACTTTTTTTTTTTTCCATCTGCCAGGTATCTGACACAACGTCAATCAAAAAAACAAAAAACCTAATCCAAACTTGAATGAAATGAGTGGGGAAAAAAGAAGCCTCCGGCCCAAATTAATCCTTGATTTTATATAAAGCAAACACAAAATTACATTCAATATTCATGCATTTGTTGTCTACATTTTAAATAAGGGGCTATAAGATAAAGAGTTCTTTACTTGGGGTCTATAGAAAATCTCCAGAGAATTCAAGAATATTTTGAAATTATGAACAAATCAGTATAAAAATATGATTTTCCCCTCACTGAGGAAGATCACAGTCCTTTTCAAATTCTAAAAGGTTATGTGATCCTAAACTATAATTGAATTCTAAATTATCTATGGCTTTAATGACTGTATATATAACTAATTCTGGTTTATAGAAGACAGAGCTAAAAAAAGTGGGTCGTAAATTACAGAATTTCTAATGAAGATAATGTAAACTGATTGAGCCCTACTCAGAGGAAAAAAAACAAAGGAGAGAAGGGAAAAAAAGTTTACTAAGTCACAGTATTAATTATAAAAAAGCAATTAGTCTACTGAATAGTCATCATTCAACAATGAGAATGAGACATTTTTATTTTTTTGCAGATAGGTAACAATCACAAAAACAGATGTTTTCTAAAAAATGAAATTCTAGAAGCAGCTGGCAGTCTCCAAACCAAAATATGTAGGAATTAATACTGACACATTTCTCTATAATGGTTTCCTATGTATTAGTCTAGATGTTAATCCAGAAAAATCATCAAACTGATTTGTCACTTCATTCCATATTGGATAAGGAAGACTAATAGGTTAGTTCTTGATTTTTCTAATCAAAAATCAAATATGAAGCAATCTCATATACTCATTATGAATATAGTACCTCATTAAATAGCTATAGTGAAATATACTGTTAATTTTATCAGTAATATATTCTATGCCCAAGTGTTCTTGATGTCAGAAATTTCACTGAATTCAAGAAAATTTTCAAAATATTTAAGGAGGTTTTTTAAACCTTAAAATCAGAAAACTTGTATTTCCTTGCTTATCAATATAACCCAAATGAGCAGACCTAGAAAAATGGTAACTTCTCAATTTGAGAATGGTTTATGTGTTCACTTAACCTTACCTTTAAGAATCAATTATTTGAAAATACTTCCCTATCATCTAATAATGCATTTTACCTTGTTTTAGTGAATAACCTCATATCATTAACAATTACACACATAGAATGTGTAAAATCATGATTTTCAAAGACTGCATATATAACAGTCATTAGATAAACACTTGGGGTCTCAATGGATCTCCCAATATCTGGAAGAAATTAACATTTGCTTCTAGGATCGTAAAAGGAAGGCAGAAGCGGGAAGTTAGTACTTTCTAGTGAAAACAAAGAACTCTGGCATTTTAGCCACCAAGCACCACTTGGTACCCATCCAAACATGGGGGATTTTTAATTGGGAGTACAAATATTTAGAGAAAGTTCACAAAGCTTAAAAATAACTCTTGAACTTACCAGGCGTATTTGTTGAAGAGGCCTTCGAAGTTATAGGCTCTGAATCTTCCTAAATTACAGAGAAAAAAAAATTAAATCAGATCTGTTAGAAACTTGTGATAATATAGTCAGTGTTTTATAGCTCCACGTCCAACCATTTCCCACTTTTTCCCTTTGTTGACTTTTTTCTTCTTCCTTCTATTCTAGTTTAGACTTCTTTACCTTCCTACCACTCCTCCCCATCTTCGTTCCCTATAACTCCTTTTCTCAGGTGTTCTGGGAAATGCAATAGCCAATGTTATTGAGATTGATGTAAGAATTAGGTTTGAGAAATGGCATCAAAGAAGGCTAAATATATCAGGAAAAAGAGATAAATTCTTTTTTTAAGCATCTGCCCAGCTGAACTGAGGGGGGTGGAACATGAAGGTTGTACTCTTAAGGGGCATGGCAAGTAATAAGAGCCTCTGGGAGAAACATCAACTACTGATTCGGTCACCCAACTCCTTCATTTTAAATGCAAAGACACTCTGACCCTAGAGATTTAAAGCAACAACAACAACAAAATACAACCTAGTAAAAGATCATTTAGTGGTAGGCTTAGGCACAGAATTGAATTCTGTAGATGTGAACTTCAGTGCTATTCTCACAACTCCACACATTTAACCCATTTTAATAAGAATACCATTAAAAACTTATAAACTCAAACAAGCCATATTTTAAATATCTAAAGAGTTTAAAATAAGTCACTGTAAATGCAAATTAACTGAGTTCAAACTAATCTTTAAATAATTTCTTAACTACAATGTCTTAAATTTTACATTTTCAAGTGCAGTAAACTATCTTTATTAACTTACATTTTTGTCCTCTTTTTGTTCTGTTTCTATTGCTGATCCCTTTTCAGCAATCCTTCTCCTAGAAAGAAGGTAAACCAATTTAAAAAAAAAAAAAAATCATTAAGGTCTTAGTATGAAAACTGTTTCTCCAAAAGGGAAGAACTTCATTTAGCTAAGTAATATATGGAATAAAATTAACAAAATCCTCTCAGTTCTGGACATGTCTATGTAACTTCTCACTCACCTCCTGGCCAGCAGCGCACTCATTTCTTCCATTAAACCACTACCCCCTAAAGGAAGGGGTCCATTTCCACGACCTGTATCTGTTTTAGAAGAGGCCGAATTCACACCAATGGTATTCCCTCCACTTGGGAAAGAGGCATCCTCCATCTTAATGAGAATATACATATACAATAAACTCCTATGTTAGACAATCCTATACTTATTAATAGATTACATTTAAAACAGAAGGATACATCAGCATTACTTTCAATAACCACCTAAATATTACTTTAAAATCTTCTTAAAAGCCAATGAAGTGAATAGCACTGATTTTATATCAATGGAAATTTTAACAAATTTAACATCACCAATAATGGGATAAAAAAGTATCACATACCTCTGTGTGTAATACACTAAGAATATATTACTTTGGAGATTTAAAAAAAAAAAACTCATAACCCACATTTAATTTGAGAAAACAACAGATAAACCAAACTGAAGAAAATTCTAAAAATAACTGTTTTGTAGTCTTTAAAAATGTCACTTACCATGAAAGAAAAATTGAAGATTTGTTACAGATTAAAGTAAATGAAAGAAACACTGCAACTAAATGTAATGGGTTATCTTGGACTAGAACAAAATTGTTACATTATTAGACAACTGATGAAATTTTAATAGATCTGTAAATTATAGTATTCTATCAGTGTCAAATGCCCTGATTTTGAGAAGTATGTTGTGGTCAAAGTACACACTGAAGTATTTAGCATGTCTGACTCAATTCAGACAAAAACAATGTGTGTGTGTGTTTCTGTAGAAGGAACCATAAAAAGCTACAGGCTACTAACAGATATGGCAAAGTGTTCAGTGGTGGCTGGGTGATGGGTTTACAGAAAATCTTTGTATTTTTTTTAACTTATATATTAATAACTAATTATTTCAATTTTTTGGTCAACGAATTAGTAACAGCATTCATAAAATTAGAATACAATGAATTCAGCATTTTATACAATTTGAGAAAGAACAAGTCATACATTAAAACAATAATTTGGAAATGTATTTACCCGTGACACTTTCCTAAGTTTTGCTCCAGCAATTGCAGCTGCAAGTCCAGTTAAAGGGCGATTGTCTTCTGATATGGATCCCACAAAAAATCCAGATGCAGGGAGGGGAGGAGCGGGAGGTGGTGGAGGAGGAGGGGGTACTTGATTAGGAAGTGGGGGTGGAGGAGGTGGAGGGGGAGGCCCTGAGGATGGGAGTGGAGGGGGAGGAGGCGGCCCTGGGGGAGGGGGGAGTGCTGCAGGAATCTGGGGAGGACCTGGTGGGAGTGGAGGAGGGGGTGGAGGTGCAGGTGGTCCCAAGACAATGCCTGAGAGGAAGAACGTTAAGTAAGACCATCAATGATAAGAGTTAAGTGATATTATTTTAGGTGGAAAGGTATGTCAAATGCCATGCTAAATTACACTGACTGAAACATATAATACATATTAATGAGCTTGATTTATAATGTCTAAGGTATAGATCAGTATTAAAAAAGATATTAAATTTAAAGCCAAAGTATGTAACAACTTACTTTAACATTAGAGATTTATTTATTGAACTGTAAAGACCATCTAACTAGATTTTTTTGGATAATGGGGATTTGCTAAATAAATAAAATAAATGCTTATAAAATTAGGGAGACAGGTAGCATCTGCGAAAAACAGCAGACTAATGCAGATGATGGTTGTTAGGACTATTTTAAATAACAGATTGAAAATAATCTGTTAACACTTAAATATAAACACAATACATTCTCTACTAGTGAAAACACATCTTTGCTTGTTTACAGATAACCAAAGTGGCTGGACTGAGAACAAGGAGGAGGGGTGGGCCCCAGGCTCTAGTATCTTAAAAGTATTCCACATTTCAATCCAATGTGCAGTGAGAACTGAGAAACCTTACCCTGTTGGGCTGGAGTCTCGGCCGGCTGAGAGGCTGCCTGCAAGCCTGGCTCAGAAGCAGAGGAGTCTCCCAGCACTGAGTTTAGAGGAGTCTCCACAGAGGCAGGGGCAGCTGCAGAGGGAGAAGGGAGAACACTAGGCTTGGATGAGGGAGTTGAGGCAATAGGGGTGCCTGGAGGAGGAGAAGCTTGAGATCCACAGTGTGAGAGTGGTGCGAGGGAAGGCAGTGGAGGCGGCGGCAGCGCTGCGGGCCCTGAGGTAGGCGGTGGAGACACTGGATATGTTACTGAGTCAAGCAGCCCATTGGATGCTGTTGGTGATGGAGGCATTTGGGGCACAGGAGAAGAAACACAAACAGGGAGAACAGGTCTCGGACCAGTAGCTTTGCCTGGGGGGCTGCTAATCATTACTGGAGGAGATGGAGGGAGGGGCGAAAAATTGGAAGTAGACCAGGCACAGGGCTTCGTAGCTGGAGGCTGAGAAGAGGGTGTGTTCACAGGAGAAGAAGGTCGAGAGTTTTTGTTCAGAGGACGAGGAACTGTAGCATAATGGGGAAGAACAGGGTGGAAGGCTGAACCTAAAGATGTTGCAAAACGTGTCGCTGAGTGTCGAAGTGGTGGTGTGGGGGGTGTGGAAGTAGGTGGCAAAGCGGTCACTACAGCATAATCAGGAGTGGCCTCTGACACTGGAGCTGAGATGACTTTAGCATATGATGGAGGAGGTGCTGAAGGAGGCTGGCAACTGGCATATTCAGGAAGTGGAGCATTATACAGGGAGCTGTCTGAAGATGGAGCTGGACAGAAGGTGGAAAGCGGCAGCAAAAGACAGGATAAAAAGGAGAGAGAAAAAGGGAGCTAGTAAAGCCACAAAACCAGCATTCAGACAAAATGTATAAATGTAGACTAAAGTCAGTATAGAGAATTAGGCACAAGTGTAAATAACTGATTTTATCAGAGAATGTTTTAACTTATAAATACATTTTGAGATCTAGAAGGATAAAATAAGTTTTCTTTTTATCATAAATAAATTAACTTATCCTTTACAAGAAAAATGTAGTAGTAGCCTTAATTTTCATCATTCAGTACACTACAAAGACATTAAAATAGGACCACAAACAGAAGAATAAGTTCAGTAAATAAAAAAACCAACAAATAGCAGAACTGGAAAATGTTTATTAGAAAGGGCTAGTCCCCTACTTGGTGCCAGTTTGTGGAAAACTTTTGTTTTGTTAGCTATTATCCCAGAAAATAAACAGCTAAACACAAATGAATTGACTTAAACAAGAAACCAATTAAGTGGTATTTAATCAATACACATGGAGACTTTTGATCAGGCCATATGGAATTTAAAAATACGTCTTAAATCCTATAATCAATGTTCAATTTTAACTAATGCCAAAAATACCTTAAACTTTGGGTCATATTATAACCTTTATGTTTTTCAATAAATGGTAGCAGATTTATTTTTCACTGTACTAGAAAACATATTTAAATAAGTCTTAGGGTACTTTTCACCTATGCCTTTAATTCCTCCTTCAGAAACTTTAGAATATAATCAAGCAAATTTCCTGTGAAAGGGTACGATAATACTACAGTATTCAAAACAATTTAAGTCATCTCAAAAGGGAAATATATTCCAAGTTTATCCAATATAAAAATTTTCCCATAAAGCCACTTACACTTTATAGTCAATTTATAGCAATAGAATTAGAATGCAAGAACAAAAATTTCCAAGAGCTTTCTTAAGTCTCCAAGCAATAAAAGCAATACAGAGAGAAATAAAAAGAAAATTTTAAAGTAGCAACTGCATATTTTTCATAATTTCAAATCGTATTGCTTAATCCCAGGCATCTCAGATGTGAAATATTCTAATATATTACTACATAGAAAACATCATCCATCATCCAAACTCAGATATAAAGAACACAGGAGAACTTGTAAACTTCTTACCAGCATTTGCTATTCTTCGCTCTCGCTCCCATTCCAGCTGTTCCCTTTCTAGCTGTTCCTGTCGCTCTCTTTCTTGCCTTTCCCGGTCAAGTCTCTCCAGTCTCTCCCGGTCTTGTCTCTCTCGCTCCAGGCGTTCCTGACGCTCCCTTTCTTGTCTCTCTCTCTCCAGCTGCTCTTGTTCCAGTCGCTCCCTCTCAAGTCTTTCCCTTTCTAACCTCTCTCTCTCCAGTCTCTCCCTTTCCATTCTTTCTCTCTCCAGCTCCTTTTGTCGTTGTTGCTCTTGTAGTTGCCTGAAATTTTGGGGAAAAATTACAAATATGCATCTATGGCTACTCACTATTCAAAAACGTATTCTTTTCATAATGAACATATGTGAGTATTTATATATATATATATATATATATGTAGTTATTACAAATAATGGTAACACATGTCCCATACATGCTCATTTCACCTTCCTAGTCATTGTCAGAACCATTTGTAGATAAGAAAACCAATGCACCATTGAAATGTGCCAAACCCCCTAAGACAGTACACCCATACATCATCACATGTATCTGATTAGGAGTTAGTCCATTAAAAGGAACAGTCATATCTGAACAGCAGCCTTCTTTCTACTGTTAGATTGGTGTGATTAGTTACTCTTCTTCAATAAAAAGCCCATCAGTCTGAGCATTGAATACATCTTTTCCTTGAGAATCTTCTGCATTTTCGCAAACACTCCAGCATATTTCATGCAGACTGCCAGCTGCTTATCTTCAGGTGTTTTCCAAATTACCCCTCCCTCTTCAGGACACTTTTCTGGGACACGGAGAATGTGTTAAAGTCTTTTCATTGATTCTATACTTAAGACAATTCCTCCTTCCACACTCACATATTCAAGGTCACCAGATCTTACGGTCTGACCTAGATAAGAAAGTTGTGATAAATCCTTTTTTTAACAAAAATTACTTTTAAACAACAGAGATGGAGCTGGAAGGGATTATGCTCAGTAAATAAGTCAGAAGGAAAACGAAAAATATTGGATGGTTTCACTTACAGGAATTCAATCCCTGGCCAGGAAGGTGACCCTCATGGCACAGCAGAACTCTCCTGTCTTGTCTGCTGCTCCCCTCAGCAGTGTATTTCAATAGATCCACCTGTTCTGCTCCCCACTCTGTCTCTGGCAAATCCTCTCACCACCTCCCCCTCCTCGCACCTGTGGCCTTTACTCCAGTTCTTATATGCATAAACAAATAAAAATAAATCTTTAAAAAAATTAAAAACTAAATAAAAATACTTTCAAGTTTTTAATAATAGCAAATGTAGTGGGACAAGCCAGGAAGAACCAGTTATACTGGTATATTTATCAAAGAAGTATTTGTAAACCTTTCTCATCATTAACCACATGTCATTTGTTTCTACGTTAACTGACTCAAACACTTTAACATTTTTAGAACTAAAGAATTCTGCTTTATCAGTGTTTGGCCCAAGTTTCCTTCACTGCAGCACAGAGACTTACATCTTTGAGTGCTACATGGCTGCTGTATGTGACTCTAAACCATATAGTTTGTTTTTTAAGTCCCATATAGATATGTAACAGCAAGAAAATGTCTCTAAAGTGCCCCACTGAACCTAAAAGACAGTCTTGCTATCTCCCTTAAAAAAAAAAAAAAAGTTATCCTCATTTTACATTCCATATCGTTGTGCAAAAGATTAAATAAGGTAATGCTTTAAAAAGTACCTGGAGCATAACTCTCAATAAAAGTGAGCTACAGTAATACTTGGAAATTTCAAAATAGGCCTTTCCCTGGCATGGCTAATAAACTGGCTGGGTCCCAATTCTAAGCAGAGCTAAATGACAGAAGGTGTACACATTCCTTTATTCTTCTCCCAGCAACACCAATAAACCAAAAAGATCTTTCCAAATATCTCCTCCTCTTCATGTTTCTTAAAGTGACTTTATAAAAGAAGAGGAAATGCCCACTTTACCAGTAAATCAATCCCATGTCTCTCACAAAAAAGCTCCTCTCTGGCTATGACACCATACTTAACAATAACTGCAAGGGAAGGACAGAAGACACCTGTGGTAGTCCTTAATATGAGTACTAGTTAAGATACTGAAAACTAAACAATAAAATCAGATTTTTAAGCTCTCCTGTTGACATCATTATGCTATTTAATAAATGACTAGCTGCTGAAGTTTCTGAGGGATACAATATCACTTCAGGGATGAGGGCAAGAAACGAGGTATATTCAGAATATGTTTCTAGTAAGAAGTTAGAGAAATTCAGGACTTTCAATCTAGTAAGCAGACTGAGGTGGGGGTTATATTAAATATAAAGCACACAATGTTTGTTCAAAATGTGTGGTATTTTAAACTAATACTCAAACCAATCTATTGGGTCCAAATGGCAAAAGATACACGCGTATTATTTTAATTGAGTGTACCTGAATATATAAGCCAAGGGAAAGTTTTCAACTTTGGAGTATAGAACTGTACCAAGAAATCTGTGATGAAAATATCCACATTATTAGGTCTCTTTACATTTCTGTGACTCTTCTCTCTTTCATTTTACTTTCATCAAAATAACACAAGACATTATTTTTTAAAGCTTATAACAAAAACCAGAAGTTCATGCCTTAACCCTCCCACCCTGCTTCCCAGAGACAATTACTGCCAACTTCTTCGGTTTTTTAACTTTAGATACTCTCTACTGACATTCTGATATGATGCCTCTTGAATCTCCCTCACCACACAAAACTTTTTCTAATATAGTCATGAGAGGATGCTGATTTCTGGTTATATAGATATTCAGTTTCTGTTATTAACTGGACTATACAGAATGCTCATAGTTGAACCATATGGTATTCTAAGATCACATCTCATTTCTTATTCAAATTCTTAGTTTTTTTAAACCTCCAAGTGAATGGCTGCTTCTCAAAGTAATACAGTGTTTTTAACACAAGAAGTAAGCTTAGCCACAGGGAGAAGGCCAAGCAGGAGTGAAATCAATCTGAAATAACTATGGAATAATGGCATTTACAATGAGGGTATCCTAATTTAAGAAGATTATTCCACATGTCATAATAGTCTATGGTCTTCAGTCTATAAAACAGAAAGCATATCAGCTGATGTAAGAGAGTACAATGCCAGAGAGATATCCAAGTTCATTGCTATTACCACTGAAATAGACGAGACAGTTGTAGGAGATGCTGCTGGTATATATTTTCTTGACTAGAAGGTAAGAAAGGAAAGGGTTAAAAGTCCCTACTTAATTTTTAGCTAGTTTATGGAAAAGATGTATATCTAAACATATTTGCCAAAATAACATATCAAGTAGAAAATCTCTGACTTACAAATCCTTAATGGCAAGAGTTACTCCTACCTAAACCGGATGCTACCGACATTTTCTGACTTTTATGTTTTAAACTATAAAGCAGGACACTGTGTAGCTTTTTAGGGGAACAGTTCCAAATTTTATTCCAAATTTATAAACTCTACTTTTCATAGAAATATCACTGCCAACTCACATTCCAGAAATGCAAGTGATTCCTCTTCCCAGAGTTTTGTCTACAACTGTTTTCTTTACTCGTTAATAGAACTGTCTGAAGACTTTTTCACAGCCCAAATTCTGAATGAAAGAAAAATCTCAGCAGACTAATTTTTCTGTTAAGTTAGGACATGCATTTTACAATAATTTAAATGCTTCTGAGAAACTGTCTTTTCTCAGAAAGAGTTACGGTGACCAATATTATAGTAATGACCAATATTATAGTAACCCAGATCATAAAAAAGTATCAGAAGTAGGTCACTCTATTTTTCTATAGTAAACAAAATATAAATTACAAAATCTTAATGGACACTTCCTCCTCTAATTTCATCTCTCTAATGAATAACATTAGTAAGTAATGAGTGATTTAAATTCTGACATAAGCAGGAGAAGGACTAAGGAAAATGTCCTAAGTTGATAATATTTAGTAACACTTTGATGTTACTGACATTTGTCAGAAACAAAACTACAAAATATGTCTTGATCCTGTAATGTGGGCATTTCACGTCTCTATTAGCAAACAAATGAAAAATGAATAAAACTAAACAAGACAGTTAAGTTGTAATATCTCCAAGCTCCTGAGAGCCAATACTCACAAGAGAAAGCGGTCAACTCGGCCCATCCTGCCTCTGAAGGCTCCCAGGAGGGCTATGGATTTTCATGGTTCCCACTCCCACTTCTGTGCTGGGATCACTACCGCTCTTTTATAACTTTCAGGTAGTACTGATGATTTGCAAACTATTTATAGATATTAACTAAATTAAGTTCTATGTTGAGACTAACAACAGACTGACTCATGTTTCTTAGAATGTGTTTTATCATCACAGTGAGCAAGGAAGTCAAATATCAATGAGTCGGAACCGAAAAATAATATTAACAAACAATACACATAAGAACAGAAAACTATATTATCATTATGTTACTTTAGTACAGGATTAACAACATTTAACATCCAAAGTAAATGTTCATTTTATTAACTCAATTTCACTCTCATTTAAAAATCAAAATTAAATTTCCAAAACTAATACATAGCTTAAAAAGTCAAATAGTATTAAAAATTTCTAACAGTAACTCTCTGCCCAACCAGCACTGCTTGTGATTTCACTCCTCCTTCAATACTTGGGAAATTTACCACGTTTCTAAATACAGTAATTTGTTTAGAACTATTGCTTCTTAATAGCTTTTCAGATTTAGATGTTATCTACTGGCTTCCTACTACACAAATGATTAAATTCCTACATATCCTAACCCCCTCCCATCCACCTTTCCTTCTTCATTCTCCCAATAAAATCTTTTTTTTTATTTTTAATTTCTTTTTTAATAGAGGCATGTTTTATTTATTTATTTGTTTGTTTGTTTGTTTGTTTTGTTTATACATGCACTGGGTACAGTCAGAAGCGCAGGAGGGTGAGAGAATTCACCAGAGCGGGGAGCAGAGCAGGCAGAAAGAGCGAAGTACACTGCTGAGGGGAGCAGCGGGCGGCAGGAGAGGTCTGCGGCCATGTGGGACCCTCCTCCGGTGGCCGGGGAGCAGCCGGGGATCGAACTGGCGCCGCAGAGGCCGCGGGCAGCTTCGCAACCCAGCGCTCAACCGCTGCGCCACCGGGGAGGCCTCAATAAAATCTTAATACCCTCTTTGGATACATCAATATTATATTACTCATAGCTGAGTAATATAAGCTGATCGTATTAAATTTTCAGAACAATTTCTTTCTCTAGTGTTAAAAATTAACCCCCCCCCCAGGGTTCTTTATCTA